CCGGGCGGAAGGGGCTGGCGGGGAGAGAGTGGGGAGGTGAGCACCCGGGGAAGACGAAAGCGGAGGTGCAGGGACGGTGCGGCTCCGCCATCAGTGACAGCCTAACGATGTTCCGCTGGGCGCAGGATTTTGGGGGTACGGAGGCACTTGGGAGCACGGAGGTGGGAGAGGGCGGCGGGAGGAGGACCCGAGGTGCGTCAGGAGCTCAGGGTAGCGGTTTGCAGGGCTGCGGGTCCCGCGTCTCAGGCCTGGGTGCTTGCTTGCAGAGTGCTCACCTTAGGGCCGCATGCAGACCTCCCAACTGTATCGGGAGAGGAGGCTCAGGAATATGTTTTAATCAGCACAGCCCCCTCCCCACCCACCCCCGGTGATTCCTGTGCACCCTAACGTTTGAAAACCGCTGTTTTAAAGCGGCGCCGGAGGAAAATGCTGCTGCTCGTTCTGTTTTTTTTTTTTTTTTTTTTTGCGGGGCGGGGGGGGGGGGAGAGGGAGCGGGGACATCGGCTGTGAAAGAATTCACTGAGAGCTCAATGCAGAGAGGAAGTTTATTTTACTTTCCTGGAAGGGAAGGAAGGGAAAGGGCCGGTGCATTGCTAATCAATACAAGGGCAACAGTGATAAGGAAGGGAGGAGGACTTTTGGGCTGAAATTGAGCAGACAGGAGGGGGTGGCAGTTCGTTAGTTCTTCAGGAGACAATGCAGGCAGATGTGCTTGGCAGATGTCTTATCAGTATTTTTCCAACGCCTGTAAAAATTCTTAGAACCTAAGTTACAGAGTTCAAAAGAGGCTTGTTTGAAGGGGAGGAGGAGGGGAACTTTCTGCTAACGAGAGACTTCTGGGTGCAAGTTAACCCTGAGTTGTAAAAACAGCAGGGAGGAGAGGGATGCAGGAATGTAACCTTGAAAGTAGCTTGTCTTGCAGTTTGAATTGAGGGGCTGTTTGATTCAGGGGAATCTAACCATCTTGGGATTAATTACCAGGTGCTTCTCATAAATTGTGGGCGGCCACAGCAAGGAAAAAAGAGGCCTTTTTCCTGCTCTCACACTCGCCCTTTCCCCCTCGACTGCACTGGGCAGGATCACAGCTTTTTATAGTCCTTAAGTGACAGTGTGTGCCAGTTTAAAAAAAGAAATGCGCAGAAAACAAGTGTGTGAAGTTAATCTGTCATCCCTAACCGGTTTCCTCCTCAGGCTGGCAGCTGTTAACTGCCTGATGTTACACTACAGCCTTCCTGACTTTTCTACACATATTCACAGATTTAGACAATTGTGTGATCATTTTGTATGTATTGTTCTGCACCTTACGTTTTTTCAAACAATATCAGGGACAGCTTTACATAAAATATACATGAAATACTTTCTTTTAAAGATTTCCCAGTATTGTGATACAGGGTTGTACAACAGTTTCTCGAAACAGTTCACCGTTGATGGATTTTTAGGTTGTTTCCTGGCATGTTGTTGGTTTTGCAAACTCTTGTACACTATCTCTGTACATGTGTAACAGACTTAGTAAGAACTAAAAGGTCAGTAGTTTGTTTTTTCCTTGTAAGAAAGAAGTTTTTATTAACTTGTTAAAAAACAAAATTCAACCAAGTAAATTTGAAGAGTTAATTGGCTTTAAATAACTGGTTTGGCTCAGTGGATAGAGCATCGGCCTGAGGACTGGAGGGTCCCAGGTTCGATTCCGGTCAAGGGCATGTACCTTGGTTGCAGCCATATCCCCAGTAGGGAGTGTGCAGGAGGCAGCTGATCAATGTTTCTCTCATTGATGTTTCTAACTCTCTATCCCTCTTCCTTCCTCTCTGTAAAAAATCAATAAAATATATTTAAAAACTAAAAAAAAAAAAAAACTCATGAATTGGGCAACATCCCATCTAGCAACTAGAAGGGAGCTCGAAGGGTTGTACAAAATGGAAGATTTTTATAGGAAGAAGGATGGAGCAAGGGAAAGGAAGGATTACTTTTTATTTTTTAATCCTCACAGGAGGATATTTAGAGAGAGTGGAAGAGAGGGAGGTGGGGGGAGAGAGAGAGAAACACTGATGTGAGAGACACATGGATTGGTTGCTTCCTGCATATGCCCTGACCCAGGCCCAGGCTGGGGATTGAGCCTGCAACCGAGGTAAGTGCCCTTGACTGGGAATCGAACCCGCAACCCTTCGGTGCAGGGGTCAATGCTCTAACCATTGAGCACACTGACCAGGACAAGAAGTTTTTATTTTTATTAGTCTTAAAATCACAGTTGTCTTCAAAGGTAGAGATTTAAAAAAAATTTTTTTTTAATAAATCTTTATTGTTCAGATTATTACATTTGTTCCTCTTTTTTCCCCCCCCATAACTCCCCTCCTTCCAGCTCCCACCCCACCCTCAGCCCTCACTCCCCACCCACTGTCCTCATCCATAGGTGCACGATTTTTGTCCAGTCTCTTCCCGCATCTCCCACACCCCTTTTCCCCCCAAGAATAGTTAGTCCGTTCCCTTTCTATGTCCCTGATTCTATTATAATCACCAGTTCATTCTGTACATCAGGTTATTTATTCACTTGATTCTTAGATTCACTTGTTGATAGATGCATATTTGTTGTTCATAATTTGTATTTTTATTGAATTTATTGGGGTGACATTGGTTAACAAAGGTAGAGATTTAAAGGTGAGTTGTAAAGTCTTTTGAACTAAGTGTAGGGTAAAAACCACTCTTTTTTCATCATCATGATGAATAGAACTGTTCTTGCTCTGTGATTTCAGTGTAGTAGGGGATAGACATAAAAACATGAATATAATGTGGTAAGCGTTAATAGATTTGCTCTGGTATCATCAGCCTCCCTTGGGGAGTCAGAAAAGCCTTGACCCAGGAAGTGACTTTTGACCTAGATAGAAGAATGAGTGGGAATTTTTGAGAACAGAAAATAGAACATAGAAGAGGAGAAAGGACGAGTGCTAAGGCCTACCCTCCCCCAGCTGAAAAATCTGATACAACTTTTGACTCCCCCAAAACTTAACTACTAATAGGTAATGTTGACCGGATGCCTTACTGATAACAAATAGTCATTTAACATAATTTGTACGTTATATGTTTTCTATACTGTATTCTTACAATAAAGCTAGAGAAAAGAAAATGTTACTAGGAAAATCATAAGGAAGAGGAAGTACACTTAAAGTGATTGATTGGAAAAAACTTCGTGTATAAGAGGACCCATGCAATTCAAACCAGTGTTCAAGGATCAACTATAACTGGCAGCTTGGTATAGTGAAAAAGGATAAACTTTTGACTTGAGCAAGTTTTTTTACTTCTTTAAGCCCCAGTTTTCTCTTTTAAGGCGTGAGTAACAATTTCTAATCATGCTGCACTCAAAAGAGGTTCCAAGTGGAAAAGGAACAAGATCTTGCTTTGGATTCAAAGTCCATCAGCTGACTTCATTTTCTCACATACATCCTTGATCAGTGCCTTTGCTCATGGTGTTTTCCCTCCCACTTTTCCAGGATTCTCCCATTTGAAAATCCTTCCTCTCATAGCTATCCCCATCCCCTCTCATTCCTCCTCTGCCTCATAGTCAGCAATAATTTGTCTCGCTCTGAACTTCCATGACTCTTAAATTAGTATCTTTTTTAATGGCACAACACTTTCTGCTGGTGTTAGAGCAAAGTAAGCATAAGAAGAGTAGGACAAACGAATGCTAAATACATCCATTTATATCAATTACAATAAATGGTTAGAGAGATGATTTGACAAATTGGATTTAAAAACCTAAAGTTCAGGTATATGCTTTCTTTGAGGGACACACAAAAATTTTAAGGCATGCAAAAAATAAAAAATTTGATAAAATACATATCTGGAAATATTAACTATAAGAAAGTTGGCATGACTATTCTAATATAGGATAAAATATACTTTAACCCTTTGTGGTCCAATGTTATTTTTGGAATTCAAACAGTCTGGTCCAAATTAATTGACGGGATTGAATGTTGAACTTTTTAATGTTCTTATTGCTCAACGTTGGACCTGCTCCTAGCGCCTGGTCTGTCGAGTCAGCCTCGAGGTTGGACCGAAAAGGGTTAAGACAGGAAGTATATTAATTGGGATGGAAAAATTATTTTGTAATGATAATCACTATATATTGATAGTTTACCAAGAAGATAAAGGAATTTAAAGCATATATATATATATATAATCTGATTAAAAATCCTTAAAATAGCTCTAGCTGGTTTGGCTCAGTGGATAGAGCGTCAGCCTGTGGACTGAAGGGTCCCAGGTTCAGTTGCGGCCAAGGGCACATGCCCAGATTGTGGGCTCGATCCCCAGTAGGGGGCGTGCAGGAAGCAGCTGATCAATGATTCTCTCTCATCATTGATGTTTCTATCTCTCCCTCTCCCTTCCTCTCTGAAATCAATAAAGAAATATATTTTAAAAATCCTCGAAATAGATGAAGCAAAATTGGTAGAACTATACTAGGATAAATGGACAAAACACCAATATAGTGAGAGATTTCATTACATCTCTTAATTATTTGTAGGTCAAGCTGGCAGATTAGCAGATATGTAAGATTGTAAAAAAACCAACAAGCTTAACCTAATGAACATAGAGTTTTTTGCAAGCATACATTACAGAATTGATCAACTAGACCAGAGGTTTTCAACTGGTGTGCTGCAAGAATTTTTAAAACATGCAGTATCTGACTATTTAGTCAGGGGCACTGAGCTCTTTTCCCTTAGATCGTCAAATAAAAAAAAAATGACAATAATAGCCACTCGGTGTGAATGAATCAGAATTATACTTTTTTTTTTGTCACATCAAAATTTTTTGATGTGCCGCAGAATTTTAGTAATT